TGGATGGATGGATGGATGGATGGATGGATGGATGGATGGATGGATGGATGGATGAATGGATGGATGGGTGGATGGATGGGTGGATAGATAGAGTGGATGGATGAATGGGTGGGTGGATGGATGGATGGATGGATGGGTGGATGGATGGGTGGATGGATGGGTGGGACTGAATGGAATAGTCAGATGGGTAGGTGGATGGATGAATGGATGGGTAGATGGGTGGGTGGATAGAAAGATTAATGAATTGTTAGATGATGATTGTTAAGTGATGACTATATTGATGGATGGCTAGACATGACAGGATGAATGGGTAATGGATAGATGGAGGAATAAACAGGATGATTAGAAGGCAAATGAATAGAGTGAGTGAATGTCACCCAGCTAACCAATTTATCCAAAGGAAGAGATTCAGTCTCCTCTAATAAAATTTGGGATGGAGGGAGGTCAGCTGGCACACAAAGGAATGGTTGGGCAGTGGAGTAAGGAGAGTAGGAGGGGCTTGACCAACTTCTTATTAGCGCTAAGGTCAAAGCCCTCAGTTAACACAAGCGAGGAGAGAGGGGCTCATTTTGACAGCAGTGGAGGCAGGAGAGAGGGGATAAAGAAAGATGGAACCTGGGGGGACAGGATTTTGGTTGTAGAAAGGGGTGAAGGAGGCCTAGGAAGAGGAAAAGCAGCAGCCTGGAGGGTGTATGTTGCAGTGTGCTCAGGCTGTTATAACTAAAGTACCAGTTTGGTGGTTTGTAAACAATAGATATTTATTGCTTGTAGTTCTGGAAGCTGAAAGTCTGAGATCAGAGTACCAATATGGTGGGTGAGGGCCCCGTATGCTTACATAACGGAAGGGGTCAGGTGTCTCTCTGGAGTCTTTATGAGGACACTGATCTGATTCATGTAGGCCCCACCCTCAAGACTCAAAGGCTCCGCCTCCTACTCCCTGTGGGGGAACATAAACATTCAAACCATAGCAGAATGCATGTGTTATGGTAGGATAATGAGTCATCTCATACAACAGGAGCCCTGAGGAAGAGACAAGGGAGGGAAGAGGACAAGCAGAAGAGGCTGCAAAAGGGGGTGCAGCCAGAGACAGTGAGCACCCCGACTTTGATTACGAACCTGTGCCTCTCAAGCCCTCTCAGTGTAAACCAAGATACTGCGTGCACTTGTGTGTGTGAGAGTGTGTGCACGATCAAGGAAGGGGAGCTAGAGAGTCGGTCATGGAAGAGGTGTACCCTGAGTTAACTGGACAAGCCCTAGCATGTGGCGCTAGAGAGATGGAGTGGGGTATGGCTGCTGGAGAGTAGGGGGAGATGAAGAGAAAGGTCACTGGCTTGGGGCCCAGGGAGGGAGGGGCAGACCCAGGGCAGCTGATCAGAGAGGAGATTAAGTCTCTGGAACAGAGAGGAATAAGCTCTTGCTCCTGCTGCCAGTCCAGCTGCCCCAGGAGCAGCAGCTCAGGGCAGCCCTTTGTCCTCGGGTCTCAGGCCTCCCCAGCCTCAAGGGCAAGGGTGGGGGCCTCGCAGGAGAGTCGCAGCAGCCCCAGAGGTTGGAGCCAATCCCTCCTGGAGAAAGGCTCACTGAGGCAGAGGGAAGCACAGTGCCCACGGTCATCCAGAGTCCGTCTCAAAGCCAGGTTTCTGGCTGCCAGTCAGCATTCTGAGGTCCTCAAACCAGACCTAGCTCTCCAGATGAGGGGAATGAGCCCCAGATGTGAAAAGTCAGTTTTTGAGACTCATCAAACAGTGTTTATATCTGTCTTCTCTGTGCAAAGCCCACCAAGCACTAAGGGAGCACTGAGGGGCGCATCCACCTGCCAGCAGGTCCTGGGTCCAGTGGGCGGGGCGAGGGGCGGTGGGCGGGGCAAAGGGTGAGGTGGTGGGCGGGGCGAGGGGCGGTGGGCGGGGCGAAGGGCGAGGTGGTGGGCGGGGCGAGGGGCGGAGTGTAAGGAGATGTTGCTTACAGCAGGCAGGGTGAGGTGAGGAGTCTGCAGCACCACACCATCCTGCCTGATCTGACTGGCCGCCCTCTCTATCAGAGCATCGCAAGGAACAGGCCTTAGAGAAACCAGAGCCCCTGCAGTCAACATCGTCAATTCACAGCACACCCACAAGACTTCCAAAGCCAGGATTGGGTCAGCCAGCAAACCTCCTGTGTACTGGGCGCTGCACTTGGGAGCTGGGGCGGGAACCAGCCTAAGGGGCCCAGGGAAACTGGGCCGGTATTTGGCTTGTCTCTTGGAAGCGCACAGAGCCCACCCCTACTCCCCCACATCCTCTACTTGTCCCTCAGAACACTCAGAGCACACTGAACGCCCCTTGATCGCCTCTCAAGCCCAGTTTTTTCCTCATATCCCAGCCCTGAAAATCTCCGGTTTTCCGGAGCTCATCCAGTCCCCTCGTCCCTTAGGACCAGACTCCCCTGCCCCAGAGAGTGAGGAGGTCCCCTCTCTCCAGGGACCCAGTGGAACCACCCAAGCCCTTTCCCAAGGGGCTCCCTTCCTCAGGGAGGGGTGTGGGGGATGTAACTCTCCCTGGCATCTAGCAGAATCCAGTTCTTTCTGCCGCTGGGTGATGTCACCTATTGTTGAAGGGCTGTGCTTTTTATAGCTTCTGCCGCAGCCGGGGAGGGCCGCTGGCAGGCAGCAGGAAAGGGCGCTATGGGTTTGCAAGGCTCCTGCTCCCAGCCTTTCTGTGGGGCCAGCAGCCACAGAGGGAGAGGTTTCTGACATCTCAAGAAGGAGACAGGGATCCCGGAGGGAGGGGGGAGCCCCCCTCCAGGGTGGGCCAGCTCAGCAACTGTCCTTTGCTTTCCATGCCTCAGCTCCTCCCTCCAGTGGCTGCCTGCCCCCCCTCCCCCTCTCCCTCTGGACCACAGAGCTGGGGATGGGATGGGGCTGGAAGCAGCAGGAAGCTACCCACCTCCTTGCTCTCCTGCACACACACACACACACACACACACAATCTGATACCTCGGAGTTGGAAGGGACTAACACGCTCCTTTTAGAAATGGAAGGATAGTGGCCTTGAGAAGCCAACGCCTGGCTGCAGCCTCACCAAGGGAGCTGACAGCTGCAAAGAAGTGGCCATGTGGCTCAGCTAAGCAGCCAGGCGCAGACGTCCACAGGCCTAGACTCCATCCTGATTCTGCCACTTCCCAAACCTGGTATCTTGGACAAGTTGCTTTGCCCTGCTGTAAAAAGAGCCCAGTTGGGCTCATCACGAAAATTAGATCAGTGAAAACACAGACCCCCAGTGTTCTTTCCACTGTATCTCATTTTTTGCTCAATGAGCACCCCAGGATGTCCTTTCCAAATCAAAACTAAAGAGGTAATTTCCTGTCTCTCCAGTTCCCCACCAACTACAGTAAAGGCCGATCTCGCTGCTCCCAGACTGGGGTTGATACATTGCTGAACCTCCTGCTGGTGGGAAGAACTCTGAGCCTCTCGGATTCTTCATTCATTCAACCAATAGGTGCCAGGCTGAAGGTGCTTAGCACACCACCCTGTGTGGAGGAGTCGACCATCCAGGGGCAGGTAGTCTGTGTCCCAAGGAGGGTGCTCTTTAGATACAGGGGCACAGAACAGCAATCTTCCCTGGAATAGACACACTGAACGTCAGTTCATGCCCTCTCCAGAATGTCACTTCAATCCACAGAGAAAAAAAGGATTGGACAGGAACTCCCCAAAGAGAATAAAATAGTTTGCCTCATTCAAATTCTGAATTTGCATCCCAGATCCTTCCTTCCTCGCTGTGCAA